GTAACAGGGTGAACAGTTCTCTGGAGGCACTGCCAGATCCTTTCTGACCCTTCCCCTTTTGGATCAAAGTAGAAACTTTGCACAGGGTGTGGAGAGTGGTAGAAGGGTCTTTGTCCTCCTGGAGCTACATCTCCATTCTCTAGAGAGATCCCTGAGAGTGTCCTGCCTGGTCACAGATGTCACAGCCTCATCCCCTCTTTGCTCCAGTCGTGGTCACCCAGCCAGAGCTGCCCATTGGGATTGGGAGGAAGAGAATCGGGCAGAATTCCATGCTCCCCTCCCTACTGCCTCTCACTGAGCCTGTCCTGGACCATTTCCATGGTGATAGTGTCACGTATTCAACACCTGACGTGCAGCTGGCAGTCATCACATTCTTTGTCATCTGTTGTATTTGTTGAATTTAAGCATATTAATAATTCATAAGTAAAAATAATGAAGCATGAATATGTATTATATAGTCAATGTAAACCAGTACCTCCATTTCTGCCTAAAATAATAATTATCTAGGTAGGATTCATCAGTCGAGAGATTACCATGTGTTGACCTCTGGGTTATGTACTTTACATAATTCATTGTTAGAATTTAAATACCACATAAAGTCCTAAAGGGTAGGTTATACTGTGCTCATTTTACAAACGAAGAAGCTAAGATTCAGGAAGGATAAAGAAAAGCTTATCCAAGGTCACACAGGTTAGGGTACAGTGTTCACAGGAGCAAGAGTTAAACTCCCTGTCTCATCTCCCTTAAATGCAGGGTAAAACCTGTAGCAGGCTGAAAGTTAGTTTTTCCTAACGTAAGAAAAATCGAGGGAAAGTGAGGTGGAATTGAGGTTTATAAAACCAAATTTTGGATACGGAGATCATATAGTGGTTGTTCTAGCTCCGCGTGCTGGAACAAGAGAATTCCCTTTGCAAATGAAAAGTAAATTTGGGGGACACATAAATCCTGCCAGGTTCTTTATCCCATTAAGGGTAATAAGGATGGGAAACTCTAATAGGTTCAGTTGGCCAAAAATGTACATAGGTTCAAGGAGGGCCCACATGAATTTGATCAGCTACTCAAGCACTTCCTTTTAAGAGTTAGCGTGAAGAGGGTATTACTATCTTTTTGACAATTAAGCATTGTCAATTTCATGTGGTACAACTTAGCTAGTGGCGGTGCTGTGCTTGGCTGCTATTTATAAAGTACAGAGGCTCCACACCCAATGCTAACTGTATTTCTATTCTCTGAACCTGCATGGAGGACACAGGAACACAATGCAAAAGTTTTAGTTTTGATTTTGCTGAAAAGCTGAGCACAATGGATCTTCCTCTTTCCTTCTGTGTCTGTCAGAGGAAAGGAAGAGTTGAAAATCAAATTTTTAAGACTGATGTCTCCTCAATCATCATGGACTGAAAAACTAGGTTTTTGTATCCATTCTACTCTAAGGATTTGCTAGCCGGGGGCAAACTATCCAGTCTTTTAGGATGTCAGTTTCATCACCTGCCAAACAAGGAAATGTATCCCTTTTGGTTTTAAAATTGTACACAGTTAAGAATACACAGCTATAGGGCTGGGGATTTAGCTCAGTGGTTCGGTGGCCTGCCTTGCAAGTGCAAGAACCCGAATTCAATCCCTGGTACCAAAAAAAAAAAAAAAAAAA